TTTTTTTTTTTTCAGTACAGGGTTTCATGTATCCCAGGCTAACCTCGAACTTGCTATGTAGCTGAGGATGATCTTGAACTTTTTTTTTTCTTTGTTTTTGTTTTTTCGAGACAGGGTTTCTCTGTGTAGTTTTGGTGCCTGTCCTGGAACGCTCTCTGTAGACCAGGCTAGACCAGATCACAGGGATCTACCTGCTTCTGCCTCCTGAATTGGCTGGGGTTAAAGGTGTGCACCACCACCATCACCGCTGCCTGGATGATCTTGAACTTCTGATCCCTCTGCCTCCATTGTACTGGGGCTAATCAAGGGGAAGTCAGTCCTCTTGCTCAGGGTAAAGATGCTTCAACAGGCCATCCTGGATTACCTCCTTACTAGTCCTCTCTCCTCTTGGCTCAGCACACAGACGTGAACTCCGGTGAGAGGGGAAGGAAGGGGTGGATAATCACTCACAGGGAAACTTGCCTGCACTCGGACTGCTAGATTTTATTTATCTTATTGTTATTATTGAGACAGCCTCACCGTAGCCCAGGCTGGTCTAGAATTAGAAGCGAGCATCATACACACAGTTAAAGAACCACACTTCATGACATCCAGTAGTTTCCATTCTGAGCTGAGGTGTCCTAGGCAGTGTTTGCTGGTGCTTCCTGGTGTGATGGCACTTAGCCCTGGTGTTCAGAACCCAGGCTGCAGCGAAGTCACATGATACAATGGGCAGGCACCACCAGAAACACTTTGGATACACTACACATTTGATTTTGAATTGATTTTTGGTAGCAATGCATTCAGAAACACGTAATGGCTCCATGTGGGTATTATATAACTGATGTACTGTTGCCAGATTTTCTGTGATCCTCTCCATCAGTTATGTGGCCTCGTATAGGGTAATAACCCACTGTTTAAGAATCTGGCCTCTAGAACCTCTAATCCGGACAGGGGATGAGCCATTGGAATCTGGGCCTGACTTCTCTCTGATTGGAGCAGAGTCCTTTCCAATCAGTCAGAGCAAAAACATACTGCCATTGATCTCCTTCAACTTTTCTCCACACTCGTGGATCAGGACAGGGGCTCATGTACTCCAGGTTGTCCTAGAACTCCCAATACAGCTGAGGGAGAGGCCATACAGATTGCAGGGACAAGATCAAGACAGAGCCTGAGTTGGGTGGGCACCTTTAATCCCAGCACTCGGGAGGCAGAGGCAGGCAGATCTCTGTGAGTTTGAGGCCAGCCTGGGCTACAGAGTGAGATCCAGACAGGGGCAACACAGAGAAACCCTGTCTTGAAAAAAAAAAAAAAAAAAAAAAAAAAAAAAAAAAAAAAAAAAAAAAAAAAAAGACACTGGGGCACTAGTGTGGGGAATTTCATACCTTAACAAACAGGCCCGTAAGATTTACAGTCTGACCCTAGTGACTCATGACATCATGCATACGTAGCCAATCCAGAAACAAGGAAGTCACACTGTAAAACTTATAGTTCAGGAAAACAATGAAATGTGTGTAGAGTCACGCAGATAGGCACTTAACCCGGGCTCTCCACCCGGAAAGACCTAATGTTTTTTAACTGCCAGCCAAAGAGCTTCTGTCTTCCCAGCTGAGCAGTGCCCTCTCTGGGAAGACGCCTGTTGTAGCTTTTACAGCACATTTAAATACATCCTCGGCCTCTGTCCTAGAATCCAGTAAATTCTCTTACCTCCCATGCACCTGGCCTGGCTGGGATCTCCAAAGACAACTTACCATACCTGGCTAAGATTCCTTTTTTTTTTTTCTTCTTTAAATCGTTTTGGCCTGATGTGGTGGCACATTCCTTGAACCCCAGCACTCAGGAGGCAGAGGCAGGGGGATCTCTGTGAGCTTGAGGCTAACCTGGTCTATGTAGTGAGTCCCAAGCCAGCCAAGGCTGCATAATCAGATCCTGTCTCCAAACAAAAATTATTATTTTTATCTCTCTGTGTGTGTGTCTCTGTGTATGTATATATGCACACACGTGTGCAGGGCCCACAGAAGCCGGAAGAAGGCATCCGGTTCCATTGGAACTGGAGCTGCAGGCAGTTGTGAGGTACCTGATGTGGGTGCTGGGGATCAGACTGTGGTCCTCTGTGTGAGTAGCAAGCATTCTTTATCACTGAACCATCTCTCCAGCCCTCTTTTATTTATCCTTTTACATTTGTGTGTGTGTGTGTGTGTGTGTGTGTGTGTGTGTGTGTGTGTGTGTGTTGGGGCCAGAGCACATGTGAAGGTCAGAGGACAACTTTCTGGGAACCAGCTCTCTTTGCACCCTGTAGGATTGAACTCAGGTCCTCAGGCTTGGTGGCAAGTGCCTTTACTCAGTGACCCTTCATTCATAGTGAATAGCATAGCAATGGCCATAGCAACACGTTTAATGGAGCTCTTTGGATTAGGCAGGTGCCTTTGACAATTCTCCCCCCCTCCCCAGACAGGGTTTCTCTGTGTCATCCTGGTTGTTCTGGAACTCACTCTGTAGCCCAGGCTGGCCTCAAACTCAGAGAGATCCGCCTGCCTCTGCCTCCTGAGGGCTGGGGTTAAAGGTGTGAGCCACCACTGCTGGTTAGACTTTTTTTTTTTTAAAGATGTATTTTCCTTTTATGTGGCTGTGGTGGTTTGAATGAGAAGGTCCCCACAGGCTCATCTATTTGAATGCTTGGTCACCAGGGAGTGGACTCTTTGAAATGATTAGAAGGATTAGGAGTTATGGCCTTGCTGGAAGAAGTGTGTCACTGGGAGTCGGGGGTGGGGTAGGCTTTCAGGTTTCAAAAGCCCATGCCAGGCCCAGGTTCTCTCTCTGCCTGCTGCCTTTGGGTTAGGATGTAAGTTCTCAGCTCCTTCTCCAGCACCATGGGAGCCGCCATGCTCCCTGCCATGATGATAATGGATCAGACCTCTAAAACTGTAAGCCAGCCCCCCCATTAAATGCTTTCTTTTGTAAGAGTTGCTTTGGTCCTGGTGTCTCTTCACAGCCATAGGACAATGACTAAGACAGTGGGTAAGGGTGTTTGCATGGTATGTGTGCACCATGGGTGCAGTGCCTGTGTAGGCCAGAAGAGGGCGTCGGATCCTCTGAAACTGGAGTTGCAGATGGTTGTGAGCTGCTGCCTTTGTGTGGGTGCCGGGAACCAAACCCAGGTCCTCTGGAGGATCAGCCGGTGCTCTTCACTGCTGGGTCATGTCTCCAGCCCCTGTGACCGCTTCCTGACAAACTATGTGTGTGTTGGGGGTGAATCTCAAGAGAAACTAAGGAATGGTGTTGTTTGTTTTTGTTCTTTTGGGGGGCCCGCCACCCAGCTCCCAGATAAATCACACATGGAGGCTTATTCTTAATTATGAATGCCCAGCCTAGCTTGGCTTGTTTCTTGCCAGCTTTTCTTAACTTTAAATTACCCCTTTTATCTTTGGCCTTGAGGCTTTTGCTGTTCTCTTCCTTCTGTAAATCTTACTCTTACTCCATGGTTTGCTGTGTGGCTGGGTGGCTGGCCCCTGGAGTCCTCCCCTTTTCTGGCTTCTTCTTTTCTTCTCCCAGATTCCTTCCTCTATATTCTCTCAGCCTGCCAGTCCCACCTATCCTTTCTCCTGCCTTGCTATTGGCCGTTCAGTTCTTTATTAGACCATCGGGTGTTTTGTTGTTGTTTGTTTGTTTTTTTTTCCCTTTTGAGACAGGGTTTCTCAAAACCCTGTTTTTGATCCCTGTTCTGGATCTCGCTGTGTAGACCAGGCTGGCCTTGAACTCACAGAGATCCGCCTGGCTCTGCCTCCCGAGTGCTAGGATCAAAAGTGTGAGCCGCCAAAAAAATAAATAAATAATAAATGGGCACAGTAACACAGCTTCACAGAGTTAAATGCAATATAAACAAAAGTAATGCACCTTAAAATTATATTCACCAACAGAATGGTTTTTCTCATTTTATTGACGTATTTGGACTATAGCAGGAGACAGAGGTAGGGGTGGAGGCTAAAGATACAGCAAAAGCACCCCCGCCCCTGAAAAAAGGTGGACTGGGGGACTAGGACTCCCCTGAGGACCTCCCGGGTTGGAAATGGCCACCTTTAATCATTGTAATGGGGGATAAAATTGAGAATCTTTGATTTCCGCCGTGTTGTGTCTCTGCTTCCCAAAGAGATCCGCCTATGGTAAGAGAGTATGTTGCCCTGTTTTTTGCTCTGGTAGATGATTTGGGCATGGGAGACGACAAAGTACAGACAGAAGCTGTGTAGGGACGCACGGGTCACCCAGCCAAACCAGCGCATGGCTCTGACCAGAGCCATGCTGAACTCATTGGTGAGGATCTGGATGGCCAGGTTGGTGGACTCGTAGGTGAAGATCCAGATGGTGTAGCTCATGAGGCCCCCGTAAATCTGGGCGTACACAGAATACAGGAGGAAGCAGCTGACCGCCATGGTGACGATGGACAGGAGGACGACGATCCTGAAGCTCCAGCAGATGAAGAATTGCCTCACTATGTTGATACCCTGACTCTGGAGGACCTCTGTGCAGTTGGCGCCCCCGAGGTGCTTCCTCTCGAAGATGAGGTGCATGTGGGTGGCCATGATGGAAAAGACCCCTGACAGCACTGTGCCCGTCTTCGCTGACATCCAGTACCATCTCTGCTGCTTCATGCCTGTGCCTCCTGTGGAGACAAGCAACCCCGCGGGAATTCAGTTCTGTCCATGCAGGAAGTGACAGGCTCTGTCTCCATCTCCATCCCCCACCCCCACCCCCCCATTGGAAGCTGAGAGAAGAAAGTGAATGGGAAATAATGGCTTTGGCTGACAAAAGGTGTTGCCGGGAAGTGGGGATGGGGTGGGTAAAGGGCTTGCAGAGGACCTGAGCTCAGGACCCACCGTAGCCCCACCCCCACCCCCAGCACTGGCCTGTTTCTGTAATTCAGGTCCTTGGTGGGGGGGGGGGGGGAAAGGGGGGGACACAGGTATCTAGGTCCCGCAGGTCACCAGCTTAGGCCAAACAGAGTTTCGGGTTCAGTGAAAGACCCCGTTTCAGAGCTACAGTGGAGGACTCCTGAAGTCCTCCATAGCCTGAAGACTGGCTCCCCAGAGTGTTCCAGAAGCGCAAGCCAAGCAAGACGTCTCCTCTCATCTTTTCTTAGCCTGGCTTCAGAAGTGTCACCGTGACCATCCTCCCAGCATTCCACTCTTCGGAAGCCAGCCCCCCACGCTGGGCTGGGCCGTAGACAGGGGCAGGAAAATTCCATTCTCCTGTGAGGGAGGCTTCTGTCAGCATGCAGGGAATTCTTCAGAGCCCAGCGCTGGTGATCCAAACCCAAGTTTGCCAAATTGCCCAAAGAAACAAAAGCCATCGCAGCAAGGGGACAGTCAGGATGAACTGACAATGTCCTGCCTTTCCCGAACTTCTCCTGGCTGACGTGAAGGGCTCTGTGTGCCAAGTCCTGCTGCATCAAAATCTCCCCGAGTGCCTGACGTTAATAACTGACAGTACACACACACACACACACACACACACACACACGCACGCACGCACGCACGCACGCACGCACGCGCGCACACACACACGCATGCGCGCACACACACACAAAGTTTTGTAGAAAAGGCAAGAGTTCACACAGCCAATAAAACTAGAGCCACCTATAGTACTGTTAGAAACCACAGTGTGACAGTGTGAACAGTTCGTAACTAGAAAACAGAAATCAATAAAAATACCACAGTAGGCCAAGTGGTGGCGGCGCACACCTCTGATCCCCGCCCTTGGGAGGCAGAGGCAAGCGGATCTCTGTGAGTTCGAGGCCAGCCTGGTCTACAGAGAGAGTTCCAGGAAAGGGACCAAAGCTACGGAGAGAAACCCTGTCTCAGAAAACAAAAACACCACAGTAGAACTGGGGACCTGCCTCAGTCAACACAGTGTTCGCCTCACACACACGGAATCTCAGGTTCCCTCCCCAGCACTGTATAAAGCCATGGTGCACACAGCTGACAACCCCGTACTTTGGAGGTGGAGGCAGGAGGATCAGGAGTTCAAGGTCACCTTTGGCTGCAGAGTAACTTAAAGGGCAGTTTGAGTTACCAGAAAACCTGTCTCAAAAAGGAGAGAAAAGAAAAGTGTAGGGGCCATTTTAATAAAGAAGGACCCCGGGGCTAGAGAGATGGCCCAGTGGTTAAGCCCACTGGCAGCTCTGGACCCGGGTTCAGTTCCCAGCACCCCCATGGCAGCTCACAGCTGCCTTTAATTCCAGTTCCAGGGGCTCCGGCACCCTCAGACAGACATGTGTGTAGGCAAGACACCAGCATACATGAAATTAAATTTAATTAATTAATTAAAAGTGGAAAGAATGGGCTGAAGATGAGGCTTGGTGGATACAGGCACTGGCTGCCAAGACTGACGACCTGAATTTGATCCCAGACTCTACATAAAGGTTGGGGGGAGAGAAATGACTCACAAAGCTGTCCTCTGGCCACACACACACACACAGACACATGTGCCTGACGTTATATGACACATGATGATTAATAAAAATATAAAGGAAGGAATAAACTGCCGCGGAGTCCCACAGTAAGGATGTTAGGTTGTCAAAATGAACCTCCGTGGCAGCACACACACACGACAGGACGGTTGACTCTTGAGATCTCCAGGGCTCGAGGGATGGAAGGAGAAAACTGACTCTGGGAAGTTTTCCTCTGACAGTTCCCACAAGACCGCCATGGCACACATGTGCACACACATGCCCACAAAATGAATAAAAGTAAGTTTTTATAGGACCCATTCATAGAGAAACCTTGTGGGGTGACCTTGAGGATTAAATGAGCAAATACGTTTGGAAGACTCGGAAGAGTTTTCTGCCCCAGGAACACTGAGCTCGGTGCTCTTCTGTCTTCGTGCCAAGGGGCAGCTCCTGGTCACTCTCCGTGTTAACTACTGTTAGTTAAGCTTCGGACAGATGCTAGTCAGTGTCCTCTTCCCTGCCCAGTTCCCTCTCTGCTAAGGAAGTCTGGTTGTGTTCAGGATGGCAAGAAGCCCAGATCCAGGCAAAATATTTGCCTTCCGAGGCATTGCCTTCAAGTAAGGACACCTGTGGACACGGTTCTAGATGAGAGAGACACGTGGAAACTGGCTGGGCACTGTGCCAAGACGTTTTCTTTTCTTTTTCTTTTTTTCCTTTTATTTTACAATACCATTCAGTTCTACATATCAGCCATGGGTTCCCCTATTCTCCGCCCTCCCACCCCCTCCCCTTACCCCCAGCCCACCCCCCATTCCTACCTCTTCTAGGGCAAAGCCTCCCCTGAGGACTGCAATCAACCTGGTAGACTCAGTCCAGGCAGGTCCAGTCCCTTCCTCCCAGACTGAGCCAAGCGTCCCTGCATAAGCTCCAGGTTTCAAACAGCCAACTCATGCAATGAGCACAGGACTTGGTCCCACTGCCTAGTTGCCTCCCAAACTGATCAAGCCAATCAACTGA